CGGTGTAAGCCCCGCGGGACGGGTACACCCCAGGACCTGCAGGGATGTGGTGCTCAGCCCAGGACCTCTGGGAGCCGCTGGGTGCCCAGGGGTGCTGGTGGGGTTAAGGTGCCATCTCTGTGTTTTCCCTGCCCTGAGGCAGGGAGCAGAAGGTGCCCATCCAGCTGGCTGACCTAGGACAGCGCCCTGGATGACAAGGTTGGCCTCCTCTGGCCTAGGGCAGTGCCCTAGATGACGGTGGTGTCCTGACAGTGAACAACATCCAGTCACGTTGGGTGGTTAAAAAGAAGTTTCTGTGGCATGTCCAATTAGACAAGTGTTTGAAGTGTGCTGTGCCTGGCTTTAGGACAGCACCTAAACAGATTCCTGCATGTTTCACACTGAAATTAAAGTCGTTGCTTCTTTGGTAGTTGCTGCAGTGGAATCTTAGTTCAGCACTGAGTTACCCTGATCTCGCATCCTGGCATTCATTGAGACTTGCAGGCCTTTAAGTGAACTTGAGACATAGGCACTGACCTCTTGAGAAGGTTTTTATTCATAGGAATAGGATTATATGCTAAAAGAAATACAGTCTAGGACTATAGTTAAAGAGTAGGGAAAAAACCCCAGGGTCTTTAGACATAATATTTTTGATGCAGTGTTAGAGCTTGAATAAAAATTACTGTATTTAAAAAAAAAAACTTATAGCAGCGGTATTATTGGGATTCTTGTATATCATTTATCACATAAATAGTGCCCCAAAAAGCATATAGTTAGTTCTTTGTTGACATAGCAAGACGATCAGCTGTATTTCCATAGACTGAGTAAAGAAGCATTCTCTTAAGCTAGTTTTCTTTCTTATGTTAAGTTTGATTCTTCATAGGAGTTAGTGTCATTGTCTTAAGGCTTTGATTCGCTCTAAATTAGGTACACTAAATTCTCCGTTTGTGGATGGCTTCTCTGGGTTGCAGGCAGGCACCAAAGGTGGCTTTGGCGGAGTTGACAAGGTCAGGCGCAGCACCGCGTGGGACTGGCTACGCTGCTTCCAAGATGGGCTCATGCTGGGAGCTGTTCAGCCACTTTCTCATCGTGTTTCTCACCGTGAGAAGTTGTGTGGATCTGAGTTGTTGCTGTGTCTGGCTGGCCTGTTCAGTCAAACGCTGTTCCTTCCGGCACGCTGGTTTCTGAAACGGCTTGCTGGTGTGGCACAGCCTTACACAGAGGCCAGGGCTTGCTCCTGTCCCTGTTGGTGCCTGCGCTGATGAGCCCTTGGGAGCACAAGGCACTGGGGAGGGCAGAGGCCTGCCTGGGCTCTTGGAGGTGGGGGTGTCCCTCTGTCTTCTGTTCTGCAGGTGTCCTCTGTGGTATCCTGGGAGCAACCTGAACAAGAAGAGTATTTACTGCTTGTGTTTTTGAAGTGAGACACAAAGCAGAAATTCTGAACTGAACTGCACATACAATTCATTATTAATATAAAAATTACAAATTTAGTTGGTGCTTTTTACTTCTTCAAATACAAGTGGATGCTACCTTGATTTTGAAAAGAAGTTTCCTCCTTCATCTTCTGGGGAGGAGCACACTTTGATCAGCTTAAATTTCCAAATGGTTTAATGGGAAACCTGTTGGCTTAATAAATACTGAAACAGGCCTAGCACAAGTGAGCAGTCTAATCAAAATAAATCCAAGAGTAAGAAAAAAAGTAATATATTCAGGTGGATAACTGCATGCCCACTACCTATTAAAACATATGCGGCATAGACGAGAAGGGAAACAAAAGTCTGGAATTGTGCCTAGATATTCTTTGGCAAATGAGGGAGAATTAGGCTGTTGGCTCGCAACTTCAAATCCATTGCACTGGGATGTGCATTTGGCTGCTCACACCTTGCAGGGGGTGATGAGTAGATGTCAGCCACTATTGTTTTTAATAATGCTTTTCCTGCTTTCCTAAAAGATGTAAATACAAACTATCATGCTTTGGTAGCATCAGTTGAAATCCGTATTTCATACAGAAAGAGATAAAACATAACACAATGTAGCATAAGAACTTTGAGCAGGATATTTTGTTTCTTGTTATCTCTTATTTTATTATTAATTTGTTTTTTTAATGCCATTGTCTTCTTAGTTTTGAACTATTTCTCCTGTTTCTTCGAACACAGATTTCAGTGAGAGGGAAGAAAGATAAAATTTATATGACTCAAAGTGAAATTACATTTAATGGATCTAACACCTAAAGTGCAGGATTTTTACAATGATCATGTTAGGGCTTTTCAGCATTTTGTTTTCTAGGTACAGGTATATAATTGATACTTGTATAGATGAAGTTCTTTAGTTGTGCCAATAAGACTTTTCAGTCCAGACACTACTTAAACCAAAGAACTTATTATCAATCGCATTTGTAGTGTTTACCCTCACTACCTGAAACTAGGGTAACTTTTTTGCATAAGCAGACTCTTTGCACAAACTCTGTAAGCAGCATTGTTTTGACACTAAAAAAAAAAATCATACTTCTAGCTCGTTAGTTGTAACTTCCTTGTCATGCTATCTATCAGATTTGGGTGCTCCTGTTTTTTAGCCCCCACTTAAAAAAACAGCGAAGTGAGATTTGTAACTGGGGGAGAGCTGTGTGAGACTAAGAGCTTGTGTGGTGGGACTGTTACTAAGTATCTACTGTTTTCACAAGTGTTTTATTTTGATTTAACTTTTCCCTTAGGAATCATAGCATCTTGTGTTACCGCGCAGCTAAATGAATTTCATGCAGGAAGGCATCGCTGTGATTTAGGAGATTGCTGTGTGGAAGTATTCTCTCCTGTTCCTGACTGCGTGGCTGCAAGAACAGCAAGCTTATGATCAGTTTTCTGGGTTCTTTTAGAGTAATTCGTGTGTAATTTGATAATACCACATATTCATCCATTGCAGAAAAAAAGTTGAGTTTTTTTAAAAAATGGTGTTTTAGAGTTAAGTGCTTCAGTCAGGAAATGCCAAAATTGTCTCCTCACTGAGCAGCGATTTTTCTTTTCCTTGTTTTTCTGCTTAGTGTAGATGCTTTGTAATAGCCTGATGCCACATTTTGGAAGAGCCTTGTTTTCAGTGCCTTCCCTGTCCTGCTTAGTGTACGTGGTGTGTAGTAATTGCTCAAGTACCAGTTACTTACTTGGTTTGATGAATGTGGTGCCTTGCTCTCTGCTGTTCACTGTTGTAAGGAGAGTGTCCTGTTATGACGGGAGTGTCCCCAGCAGGTTTGGAGGGATAGACATCTGGCTGTAGCAGGTTTTGGACAGCATACCGGTTTGGTTCTGCAAAACCATTATGAAGAGAAACTTGTATTTGTTTCATAATAATAAAAGGAAAAAGGAAATAATAATCTTAATGGGCATTTTTAACATTTGAACTGTAGAGCTCATTGTTTTATAACATTTTTCTCTTCCTCCCTTCTATATCCTAGAACCTTCTGTTACTTTTATTCAAATAAAAGTGAGTCCCATTTTTGGGGAGCAGGACTGGATTTATCAGACAGATCTGTACAGTTGAGTTGAGAGAATGCTGAGCACCTAAACCAACATCTTCTAGATTGGCCTTGCAAAAATGGGAGTCAGGTGTGCTACGTGAGTTATGAGGTGCTCTGTGTTTTCTGAGGACAGAACAATGTAGTGAGATGTTTCAGTTCCTGCTCTTTAATGTAGTAACTTAGGGGCATGTGCCCTACTTTTTTTGTTTTTTCCTTATTTCTCTAAAACACTTAGGCCTCCTTCACTTCTTTCCCCATTGGATCAACTCTTTATTAGAGTGTTTTCCCTTCTCAAGGCAGTGCTTACAACTTTTTTTTTTGCTTGCAGGTGCTTCTCAAAAAGGAGAGTATTAGACATGTTTTTTCCTCGATTCCATCTAGCTGCGCTGTGGCAGCTGGTTAGCTTTTTCAAACTTTCTTAAATACTCCAAGATGAGATTTATCAATTGAATCTAGAAATATTGGAACCAAATGCATTTAGTGAAGGTGGAATTATTTTCCTAGCTGTTAAATGAACATTTTCCCCTCTATCCAAGTAAATTACTGCCCAAATAATGAAGAATTACTGTGAAGACTGCAGTAGAGAGTTATGATGTTACCTTTTCTAAGGTAACCATTGAGTTAACTTTTTCAAACTTCAGGCTTGTCCTTTAAAGTTTGTTTGAATGCTTCCAAAGCTAGCATATGCAAAAGAAAGACTGAGAAAAGTTTTCTTACCCTGCCTCAGAGAAATTAGGTTTTGAGTGTTCTCTGAGGAATATGTGTTTTGGAAAAATTTTGGTATTTTTCAGATTTCTGCTCCAGCCTGAGTTATTTTGTAAAGTAATCTTCAATTTGAATGACTAAAATATGGCAGAGATGTAAACCATTGCCAGTCTGGTTTTAAATGGGATTAATTTGGCAACTTCTAAAGGAATCCTAGCCACTTACAGGAGGACGAGTAAGAGAGAGGGTCATATTCACTTCTTTCCTGTGTCAGCATTAATGTTTTTCTCAAATAAAAGGTGCTAAAAATTGCTGACCTCTCTGTGTTCTCTTTTGGATTCAGGTTATTCAACTTCTGAAAGCTGGGAAAGCAAAGGAAGTTTCTTACAATGCACTGGCTTCACATATTATTTCAGAAGATGGAGACAATCCAGAAGTCGGAGAATCTCGTGAAGTTTTTGATCTCCCTGTGGTAAAGGTGTGTGACTTATCCGTGATATTGTCAAAGAACTGACGTGGATACTTCATTATTATAATAGCAAATACTCATGTTTGGATGATGACCAAATAAAACTCATCTTTAAGAGTCTTTTATTCTTGTTACACAAACTTTTGTCCTGACTTATAGACTTTTATTACAATTTTCTCCTTTCTCTTGTTGTTCTGTATCTATTAGTGGTTTGGGGTTCCTTTCTGTTTGTTTTGTAGTCTGTTTTTTCCTCCAGTCATCTGTGAGATGGTTTTCTGTTAGCTGTACTTCACAGATGTTTCTGATGGGAAGGTTATTACAAGCCATTTACTTAAATAGTTTTTAATTTTCTTTCTAACTGCTACAGCTAAACATTTTCATTTGCCAAACAAGAGCAAGTCTTTCAGTAATGTCACTTAGTTTGACCCGAAAACATCACAGCATGATCTGTAATCAACAAGATTAGACTAAGTATTAAGGGAATGGAAGTTAAGAGGCAAAAGTAGCTTTTTACAGAGAATAAGCAAGAGAAAAACGTGAGGGAGGAAAATCTCCCATTATTTTGCAGAGGATTGAGGAGCTACAAATTAAATGTTTTTAATTCAATTTTTTATATGCCTTCTTTTAAGGAAAAGAGAACTGCAAGAATTGGGACAAAATATGTATAGTTACCACAATATTTTTTTTTTTTTGGTTTTTTTGAGGAAAACTAATTTCATATTGAATGTGATGCCACTACTTTTCCCATTTTTCCTTACGTGCTCTATTGGGACCACTGTCCTACATCCTGGCCTGTATCAAAAAGAATGTGTCTGGCAGGACCACGGAAGTGATCGTGCCCCTGTACTCAGCACTGGTGAGGGCGCAGCTTGAGTATTGTGTTCACTTTTGGGCTTCTCAGTGTAAGACACTGAAGTGCTGGAGCGTGTCCAGAGAAGGGCAGCAAAGCTGATGAAGGGCCTAGAGAACAAGTCTTACAAGGAGCAGCTGAGGGAACTGGGGTTGTTTAGTCTGGAGAAGAGGAGGCTGAGGAGAGACCTCATTCATTGCTCTCTACAGCCACCTGAAAAGAGGTTGTAGTGAGGTGGGTATTGGTCTCTTCTCCCAAGTTACTAGCGATTGGATGAGAGGAAATGGGCTCAAGTTACACCAGGGGAGGTTTGGCCTGGAAATCAGCAAAAATTTCTTTACTGAAAGAGTGATGGGGCATTGGAACAGCTGCCCAGGGGAGTGGTGGAGTTGTCATCTCTGGAGATGTTCAAAAAGCGTGTAGATGTGTCACTTTTGGACTTGATTAAGTAGTCATGGTAGTGCTGGGTTGACGGCTGGACTTGATCTTAGAGGTCTGTTCCAACCTTAATCTCCTATGATCTCCTCTGTCTTCTCCACCACTTCTCTCTCTCCCTTTGAGCCCTTCTGCCCCAGAATAATGTCAGTTAAGAGCCACCACCTGTGTATATAACAGCCAGCATTTCTGTGGATTTAGAAACTTTTCTAGGTAAGATTATGGTTCCTGAAACGAATGAGTGTAAGACAGAGGACTTTGGTGTTTTTCAGGGCGTTTATTTGAGTTCTTTTTTTGTGTATTTAGAGCAGGAAGAACTGAAAAGGGAGAGGATGAATAAATAAACGGTTTTCCTGGCACCACAGAAGGACAAGAGGAAAGGATTTTGCTCCCATAGTGCTGCACAGCCTTTGAGCAGTGTTTGTATTAACTCTTGCAAATAAATCAGAATGGTCTTTTTTCAAAGGCTTAACTATGGTATCTGTGAAACACTTAAATTTTCAAAGGTGGGAGATACATGTTGAAACTGGCTATAGTATGAACTTGGAAGCTAATTCGTATTTCATACATGCAGACCGAAGTTTTTAATCTCTTGTGGTTTTTACCTTTCAGCCTTCCTGGGTGATCTTGTCTGTTCGCTGTGGAGCTCTTCTGCCGTATCCTTTAAGTCAAAATTTGAATCAATTCTATAGGAAACATGTTAAAATAGATACCATCAAGGGATTAAAGACTGTGTCAAGTATATATAGTTTAAATTTTTAAAATGATAGGATGTGTTTTGCCTGCTAAGATTGCAGTGTGCTTGGAGCTTCTTTGTCTTGCTTCAGTTTTCTTGTCCCTCTGGCTATTTTGGATGCTTAAGAGGCCCTTGTAAGCAAACTGTCATCAAATGGACTTAAAATGTTTTAGCTGGATTTTGATAATAAACTGAGGATCCAGGAAAGCCACTGGGGTGCAGTAAGGGGGCAAACGATGGTTCAGTGTAGAATGGCTTATTCTGCCTTTTCTAGAAGCAGAATTAAGTAAGAAGTAAATAGACAATAACTCATATCAATATTGTATTATAAATAATGCTTTATAAACAGGTAGTGTCAGTATTCCCATTTCTGGCATTGTTTGTCCTTGCCTTCAGTTGACTTTTTTTATGTTTGCCTAGATCTGTGTTTCTTACCTTGTTTGAGCACATATTCTTGCATATGGATGGCATATTCCTTCCTCTTCTTGTCGGTTATTACTCTTCCATCTTTATTTATGTTTCCCCTCAATTTTTTCTTTGCATTGTAGAAATGGTGACAACGACTATTACTATAGAAAAAAAATCAGGCATCTTTTTCTCAGACCATTCATGGTAAAGATTCTGCATATGGAAAACTAAAGCAGAGCTGTACATCTCAGTACGGATAGATGCGGATGATTGCAACAGACCATACCAGGACTAGGGAGGTGTGCTTGCAGGCATGAGATCTCATTTTGGAATGAGGTTAGCAGGTGGTTGTGTCTATAAGGGAAAACAAGAGGTGGTAGATGCAAGAATCCAGGTGTTTATATTAGGATTTTAGGTCTTGATGTGCTTCAGAGATTGAGAATTCATGTTTTACAACTAGTACTTCGAGGTATGTGCCTTTGCATCTTGCTGTTCCTCTACTAATTTTCGAAATAGCATGTGTATTCTCTACTTCCCCAAGAGAATTCAGCTCGGGGAGTGAACTGTAGGAAGAGAAAGCATTGAATTATCAGATAAAATGATATAAAGATGTCTTTGCGGCCACTTTGATTACAATAATCAACGTGTCAGGATTCAGCAGTTAATCATGGTTGGGGTCATGGCCATAATCATGGATAGTCTTCTGACTGAAGCAGAAGAAAGTTTTCCATGAATGACTTGGCTTCCAAATGGAAAAAAGCACTAAACATTATATGGAAAAACCTATATTAGCAGAGCTACTTCTTTATTAAAAATAATTTGATGATTATGGCATGATCTAGGCTGATGATTTTTGTTCTTTGCATCTGGAAAGAGTAAATGTGTTTCTTTCTCTTTCATCATCAGAATGGGAGTAGACAGTTGATTATGTCACATGTCTGTAAGATGTCTCCCCTACCTTGGCACTGGTTTAAAAAATAATAAAAAGCTTGGAATTAGCTATATTTTCAGCCTATCTAGCATTGCATTATTAGTGCTATTCTTTCCTACGGAGAGATTGCTCTATTAGAAAATTGGTCTTCTGTCTGAAACCAGATTTTTTTTGAAAAGGTACTCCAAGAGCTGATGTCATTACATACTCAGAAGAAAAATCAACAGATAAAACCACTGAGTGATGATGCAATCCATAACTAAATTGTAGCAATAAATGTGTGAATGTAGCCCTCAAGGGCTGTTGCTCAGGAAGTGTTTATTGTGGGTATATAGGAATGGCCAAATGAAAAGACCCTGTCTCAGTAGTATTGTACTGAGTTGCATGGAAGAAGGGAATTTTGTACACCTGTTGGCAGTAAATGTGTCCTTGAACCTCTTGACTTTATTCTTTCTAGCACTTCAGATCCTCAGAACCTGCTGGGTTTGGATTTTATTCTAAGCCTTACAGTGCTCACTAAAATGGGTTGTTAAGTCTTTGTTCTGTTTTAGTCTCTTTACAGCTCCTAGTGCAGTGACATCTGGCCTTTCATTAGGCTATTAGGTACCACCGTACTGAAAACACCAATATAGTAAATAGGAATAGTTTACTCTTTCCAGTTGTTTGGGTTTGGAGCATGTTGAGATGGTGGTTTGATATTCTACGTTTTTGTCTTTTGTTTGTGTTTTAATTTGGAGATGCAATACCCAAAATGGTCATTGAATTTCTGAAGAAACAAGTCCTAGAAACATCTTTTGTCAGTTAGATGTATGGATCTAGTAAGAGCTATAAAGATTTTATGTTGGTTTACCAATTCCAGTAATTATGTGATGGCTGTTTGCCTGTCAGTAATTAAAGGTGAAGCTTAATGTAAAAAGATTTAATCCAATATAAAAGCATAATAATTTTACCTGATTTTAACATTCCACTGTGAAGGTTGGTTTTGCCAGGGGGAGCTTCAGAAGGCAGAGGGTTCTCCTGTTCCCTGCCAGCTGATGTTTGCAAAATCTGACTAACCTGCAATTGAAGGGAAGTAACAAAAAAAAGGGAATTTGGAAGCAACCTTCTTGAAGAAGGAAAGACAGTTTTGTGTGTGAAAACAGCAGTTAAAACACCACAAAGGGGGCTAGTGATTTCTTTCTCAATTTTCTTGATAGCAGCAAAAGCAAGAATGAGCCAAATTTATTTTTCCACCGTCTTGTACACATGAAAGAGGGTCAGAGCACTTCTGAATTTTTGTTGATGGGAGCAAAAAAAAAAAAGTGAGTTTTGCATTCTCTCTTTTGTTTTCCCAGACCCACTTGGAACATTATTGTTGTGCCACTTGTAACTGTTTTATTTCAGTCTTATTCTTTAGAGAGTGCAAGCTCCAGTCAAAATGATGGACCTCTTAAAAGTTAAATACTGAGCTGTTGCTGCTTTATGTGCTAGGAGCAGATGTTAAGGCAGGGAATAGCAAACTACCCATTCAAAAGATGCCACCTTAAATGAGATACTGAGCAATACCGTGAAATTTAGGATGTTCATCAGACTTGCACATCTTGGAGTAGTTTGGGTAATGGCAGTAATCTGTTCTTAAGTTTTAAAGTGCTCTGGGCTTTGTTGTCAGCCTGCCGTTTGTTGTCTCTTCTGGGTCTCAAAATTTGAGGATTGCTAGAGCATCTGTCAACAGCATGGGGAAAATAATTTCTTTTCATTTCACAAACCTCAGTATGTCATTTTAACACAATGCACATCTGCTTCTGTAGTATTTTTTTCCCACAAAATATTCATATATCTTAAAGACAAAGTTCTGTAAAAGTGTGGAAAAGGGAAGGAAGTTACAGACATAAGGTGGTCTGTCAGTCTTTCCCAGATCACTTCAGTCAAACTGTTCTCTCCCCTGTTTCCCAAGGCCCCTCTCATAGTGAAGATTTCAGAGTCTCCCCAGTCAACTTAGAGTGTCTCACTATTGTGTTGCTAGAGTTTAACCCCACTGCCGTGCTGTGATCTAACTGTGTTTTGATTTATTGGAGCCACTCCGAACAGGCAGAACAAATTACTTCTCTTTTCATTTGGCAGCCTTTAAAGGATTTGAAGATGTGTCAGCTTCTTAGACACATCAATTCTGGTCTTTTGAGTTTCCTCTTGTAAGTCATATTCACTAGGTCTGTAAAAATTCTCACTGCGCTTTTTCACATACTGTTTCATTTCCCTTTCATGCACCTGAAAACAAATATGCATTGCTGCCAGAGGTGGTGTTGAATTTTGAAAGCCTAGTGGAAAACCTGATGTTAGTTTCAGGCTGTGTTTCTGTGTTTATGTCCCAGTGTGATGTATTTCACAAGAGCTCCAAGATTCCCTGCCCTGTATCTGCTGTCTCGCCAACTTTCAGTGCAGGATTATACCTCAGTAGGAAGATTTGATAGTTGCATGTACTGATTTGTCTACCACTGTTTGCAGATAATCTCTCTGGCATGTTTTTTTCTTGATGCATGACCTTGTCCCTTCGTATGTTTTTGTTCAGTGCCTTCTGTGGACTTAACCATGCCGTGTGCTAGGAAACTCTTTCTACTTTTCCAGTCTTTGAGAAATAGCAAAGGACAGGTTGGGTTCTAAAAAATATCTTCAACCAAAAACTTCACCATTTGGTTACCGAATGTTGCCATTTCTGAAACCTCTGGCTTCTGTATTGCTTTCTAACTCTTTTTTTTTTTTTTAAGGCTGCGTTTTTACTTCTTGTTGGTTTTAAATGAAGTAATCCACCAGATTGCTGTATTTTTTAATAAGCGTGCAAAAAAAAGCACTTTTTCTTACTGGTGTCTGCTATTAACTTTTATTTTAGAAAAACACAATTTTCTTGGTCTGCCTTTTTTTATAGAATTTCTTATGTATCGTCATACTTCTGTATTGTCTGTTGCTAACTAGCAAAAATTTCTTCTTCAGATTCTCCTGTGTTTTTAAGCATGGAAGATGAGCACTTGATAACATAAGGAAGTTCTTGATAATGACTTGACTCCTGTAAGCTAAGCGTTCTGAGATGGGCTGAGGGAGATGTTTTGGGAAGAGGCAAGTTTATAATGTTACCAAAATCAGTCATAGTATTAGAGATGCCCTGATCCAGTTTGCATCTCATTTTTTTCGTGATGCACACAACTTGAATTGGAAATAGACAAAATGCTTTTAAAGATGAAAGTTTTTGAATGGTCAAATACTTGATAATACCTGAGGAGCACTATGCACGCTATTTAATTTCCTCCTAATGTCCCTCAGGAAAATCTAATTTATGTTAATTTGCATCCTTGACACCTGCTTCCCAGTGTAAATGGCTTTTCTCCAGAATCGTGTCAGATCTTTTTTGGAGTCACTGCCTGTCTCTCTCAGGTAAGAAGTGAACTACAGTCAACTTCAGTGTCCAGTATCTGTGCGATGCTTGGGGTTTTTTGAGGGACCAGTTTTTCTGTTATGCTGTAAGTTTTTTCCTGTGTTAGGTGAATTATCACCTAAGGAAGTTTTACAGTGAAAACAAGGACATGAACATTCAATGAACAATTTATATTATACTCGACTGTATGGTGATTCTAAGATGTGAGGTACCTGAGACTAGAAAGTCTTTTCTCCAATTTGTTTGTTTGTGCACTAACACAATATTCTATCAACGTTTTACCTACTTAGACACTGAAACCCTACTGAGAGGGCCAGTGGGTGGTACAGTGGTGCTTCCGTGGCTTGTGTTCACAGCCAGCTCTGTAGATCTGTGTCCAGTGCGTACGTGCAGACAGACAGAATCATGGCCCAGATGCTACTGGAATATATGTGTACATGTGCATTAGACCTTTTAACAAATTATTCCTGTAGTACTGTCACTAGCTCTGAACGGTAATAGCCTAACTACATGTGACTTTCTTGGCAGGGGATGGGAACAGTACTGTGACATAAACTGTTAGAAATAAACACTTCACTTAATTTAGTTTACTTTAGTTGTTTAATGTTGTCCATGTAAGTAATTCGTGTTTTCTTAATCACTAACTTTTGTCTCTTGTGGAAGGTCATATATTAGTGTTGAGTTTTATAGAGAAGAATGTTTTCTCTTTCTCTGTACCGGTTAAAAATCGTTGTCTATTAGTCTTTTCTTGTTGCATCTCTTTGTCACCATTTTTTTCTGTAACTTTCATGCTAATTTGGTGTTTAGAAGTGATAGGTAATACATTAGACAGACTTGTAAATGGTATGTCACGGATTGTACTGAAATTCTTCAAGCAGTAAGCAGCTGGTTGTGTAGAACCAAAAGGCTTATTTACCTTCCTTTTAGGTTTCCTCTGAAGACCGAAGTACTCTGTGGGCTTTGATTACTTTTTATGGAGGGAATTGCCAGCTGAGCCTCAATAATAAGTGTACTCATTTGATTGTGCCTGAGCCAAAGGGGGTAAGACTTTATTACATTTACTGTTCTTCTTGTTGTAGCTCTCATTTGCTTTTGAATAATCAAAAATTTTCAATCTCCCCGCAGTCAGGATTCTTAAGACTGTTTGTTAGCCTTGAATAGCTAAATTCAACACAATTATGCATTGCAGCTATTCAGTTTATACTTATTTTCTGCATGGCTTTAAGCTTGATTAATTCAAGTAATGTCCAATTTCATATCAGTATTTGTATTTCTAGTTGAATAAAGTATTTAATTCTTTATTCTGTTAATTTTAACCAAATTTTGACATGTCATAATCATAGAATCATAGAATGGCCTAGGCTGGAATGGACTTTAGAGATCATTTTAATCCAGCCTCCCTGTCGCCAGGGACGCCACCTGTCGACTAGACCAGGCAACACATGGGGACCGAACGGAAATTGCACCCACGACCTTGACGTTGTCAGCGCCACGCTCAACTGACTGAGCTAACCGGCCCCCTCATTAGTAATTATGATTTGTAAATGTACAGATACAGAATCAGTGAAGAAAAAATTGAAAAATTGCATAAAATGCCCTTTGATATGTACCAGTGCGGTGAAGAATGGGACGGTCATCTTTCTTGTCTGGCTAGCTATACTGCGCGTGGTGCACCCCAGGACGTGGGTGTCCCTTTTGGCTGCCAGGGCCAACTTTAAACTCATACTCAACTTGCTGTCAACCCAACCCCACCCCCCCAATCTCTTACCACGGGGCTGCTTTCCAGCCTCTTGCCCCCCAGTTTGTACAAGGAGCTACGATTATCCCATCCACAGAATTCTGCACTTAGTCTTGTCGGTTCCGTATGGTTGGTGGTTGCCCAGCCCTCTAGTCTATCCAGATCTCTCTGTAAGCCCTTTCTACCCTTAAGGGGGTCCATAGCTCCTCCTAGTTTAGTATCATCTTTTGACTCTCATCTAGGAAGCCTTTATGCAAATGGGGAAACTGAATCAGAAAGATCAGGTAACTGGCTAAGGCAGCGCTGAGCACATCAAAATAGCTTCCTCTGCTATAATGCTTTGTAATGCCTTGGTTATAATAGTTCACTGAATCTTCATGAAGTGTTCAGGCGCTTCTCTTCCAGAAGAAGAAATGTATTTGTGCTTGATTTAGTGTGTTTGTTCAGAGACCGGAAACACTTAAATTGAAGCTCACTTAAAAATGATTGCTTGGATGCTGTTAGTTGATATGGTGGATGAAACAAGCTTCTGGGCTTGTTTTTTATGTTTTATTTTTTGTCCTTAAATAACACGAGCACATTCCCATCATGATTTTTTAAAATTTCAAATCAGTGGGAAGGGTCACATAGGTTAGTCATTTGAATGGGAGTAACTCTCAGATCAGGTTTTGTACAGTGCCTTCTTAGCATAAATCTAACAGTTTTTAAAGTTTCTAGTGTTGTCATGTACAAATTGAGTATATTACTGTCCCACCAATGACCTTTTACATATTTTGGAGTTAATGTAAATTATATAATACTAAGAGAAAAACATGTGACTAGTAGGATGATAACAACCCTGTGCATGCAGCACATAGGAAAGTGCTTTCGAGTAAAATGTGAACTGTCTTGGGAGAAGAGACATAGAAAAATCTTCATAAGGTGTTTTTTTTTGTGCAGGGTGGGTTTTGTTTCTTGGGTTGTTTTTTCTGAAGTGCATGATTCTTATTCTGTGAAAGATTAAGAAAGGTGTACCAAACACCACCTGAATTGTCTTCTCCATCACACCAAAATGTCATGCTTGGACAAAGATCTTTGCTACCTAAAATGGTGTTTTTAAGAGGCAATGATACACATTTAAGTTGCCTTATATTTCATAAGCTTTTCAGAGCAAAGGATGTTGTCTTGAGCTTGCTAGTCAAGAAAATGAAAAAAACCCAAACCCCACCACATTAGCATTTCATATGTGTAGGATAAAGTAAATATCTTGTTTAATTTAATTTATGTGATCATTGAATGGAAACAGTTTTATAGGACAGTTGCTTAAAATGCCTCTAGTCCTGCTGCTTTGTCATGCTACTGCAAGGGAATTGACAGCAGTTTGTAATGAGAACAGTTGATGCTAGTGAAAATTTCAATGATTGCTTTGACTAGACATAAGGTAATAAAAGAGAATTCTTAATAATTCTCACCACAAAGAAAGCATGAAAACTCATATCTGCAAATAAACTTGGTTTCATCTGTAATCTCTTTATTGTGTATGAATGATAGTTTCATTGTAGTAAATAACTCTAGAGAATCATTAAATTAAATTTATTTCCTAGGAATGTGCTTGTTGTTAATTTATATTGTGACATAGAAATAAAATCTCAGTTCAATCATTTTTAAATATTAGATCCTGAAATTAGTTTCAAATCTTTTAAAGAAAGTTTTGTTGCTTTTTTCCCCCTGTCTTGATATTTGTAAGGAGATTCCATCAAAGAGGATGCTGAAATAAGTACAGCACTGATTCTATGTCTATTTCTATTTCTTAAAAAAACTTTACTGTTTGTGTATATCTTCAAATGATGAAATTATAATGAAAGAGTTGAGGGATAAAGTTTTCTATTTGGTTGATGTTGTAACCTTCCATCGAAATGTATTTAGCTAATATTTGGACAGAAGGGTAACTTTCAAGTTGAGGGCAACATTGCAGCTTCTGAGAATGTGTATGGGAAACATTGACTGGTTTCTGTATTCTGCTGAAATGCTTTTTGTTCAGTGATCACCTTGTAAATATTTGTCTCTATTGTGAAATTCTGATCCTTCCCTAAATCCTTTTTTATGTTTTTTTTTCTTTTCACCTTTCTTAGTGGAAAAAAATTACATATAAACTGCATTTCGATTCACTTTAGTGTTCACCTAAAAAATTTGCTACATCTTAGTATTGGCTGTGATGTTCCTACCTGGTGGAGTTTTTTGAAGGCCTTTTTCAGGACCAAATTTCATCATTTTCAAATCATTTGATGATTAAGTTCAAGAAGAATTTCGGTCATGGTGTTTTTGTAAGTGAAGACTTAATCTTCCACAGTTGTGTCTTCTAAGTCTTTTATATTGTGGAAGTTTTGGGTTTAATCTGTTGGAATTTGTGTTTATGTACAATAGTGTAGTTGGTCTTGTTGGTTCTAGGAGAGATCACAGAACACTTTCTGTTATTGGACAGCCTCTTGTGATTTGCCTCTCCATGCTCTAGCCCTGCCCTCAAAAATGTCATTTGGGATTTTTTGTCTTTAAATTTTTAAATTTTTTTTTTTTGACCAGGAAAAATATGAATGTGCTCGTAAACGGGACAGAATTAAAATTGTCACGCCAGACTGGGTACTGGATTCTATAGCGGATAAGAGTAAGAAAGAAGAGACTCCTTACCATCCTCGTTTAATTATATACGAGGAGGAAGAAGAGGAGGAAGAGGAAGAGGAGGAAGAAGCAGAAAATGAAGAACAAGATTCTCAAAATGAAGCTAGTACTGATGAAAAATTATCAAGCCCAGCATCTTCTCGAGAAGGATCACCTTTGGGTGATCAGGTTTTTTCACCAAAATCAACTACTGCTGATAAAGCCAAAGGGGAACTGATGTTTGATGATTCTTCAGATTCCTCTCCAGAAAAGCAAGAAAGGAATTTGAATTGGACACCAGCTGAAATCCCACAGGCATCTGCAGCAAAGCGTAGGTTGCCTCAAGGGAAAGACTCTGGGTTAATTAATTTATGTGCCAATGTCCCGCCAGTGCCAGGTAATATTTTGCCTCCGGAGATGAGAGGCAATCTCATGGCTTCGGTACAAGGTGCCCAAAGTTCTGATCGCCAGGAAATGATGGCTACATGGAGTCCTGCCGTGCGGACGTTAAGGAATATTACTAATAGTGCTGATATTCAGCAGATTAATAGACCGTCAAATGTAGCACATGTAAGTGTTGGATTTTTAATTTATAAGATATTGGACTTTTTCTTAGGAACTGTCATATCCAAAAGCTTTGGTTTATTTTTGTTGTTCTTTAAATGTACAAAGGTTTAAAAGATCCCCATATTTCTTAGTTGTGGCCAAATAAGTAACCTCCCCGTAATAATAAATAACTTAATTCTTAGCAGGTTCACACAATTAGGAGTGCATTCGGAAAAAAATCTATGGAAGGGTAGAGCTATGTTTAACTACAGGGTGGTTTAGAGATTCAGTATTGATTTCTTGGTAGAAAAGTCATTAATTTAAGGTTAATTGGCTAGTTCAGGAAACCTCATTTCATACCCTTCAAGCTTTTTATTTAGTGCAAGGAATTATTTGTTCTCTAAACACATGAAACTGTGAAATTGATTATTCCTGTAGTAGGTTCAGTTCTGTAGTGTGCTGTTCTGCTGGGCATCAGTAAGTTGGTTATATAGTATAGTCAGGATTACAATTCAGAAGTCCTAACTTACAAGTTCTTATGCTACTCTTATAATTGAAATAATTGCAGCTTTTGTATTGAATTTATTTTTAGAAGAAAATTAAAAGTGAGTAAGCATGTCCTGGACTAACTTTCACCCCTGAAATTCTTAGGAGTTTATGGGAAGGGAACATGAGTAAAGCAGGTGCTCGTAAATGTTAGATGTATTTTTTACTTGAGTAGTGGTGCATTTATTTGGATGTTCATCTGATGGTGAAACTTTCAAAGGTGCCTGATATAGAAGCTCACAGCTAGTACTTAAACAGAAAAAATGGAGTCACTCAGAAATGTTGGTTCTTTGTCATCTCTACGACTTCTGAGTATGAAATAGAAATACAGGCCTCATTTTAAAACTGAGTCTTAGGTTCCTCTTCTCAGTGCCTTGAATTGTCTAAGGACTGAGACTTCTGGGCAATGACAGAGCGGAACTGCCGGTGTCCTGGTTGGTTGGCCAGGACTGGTAAGTTGGCAGATGCTCTCATGTCTGAACACCACGAATTCTACAACCCAGTTGTTGTGTTATCAAATACTCTTGAGTGGTATCGCTGGGGAAGTATTTTCCTGTAAGTTGATGGTATCGTGCTTCAGCCAGACTTTGTTCTCCAAAAGTCTGTTAGAGTAGGGGCTGTCTGTGATGTGCGAGGACTGTTCTCACGTACTGTATCAGGCTGCTCTTAGGTTGCTGTTGTAGCTCCAGCATGTGGAGAAGAGTTTTGCATCTTAGAATTTCAAATCTGCTTAGAGGAAGAAATACCAAGTCTGCCTTTTTCCTTCTAACTTCCATCTGGCTAAGTTAAATTGTGCTTTGTATCCTGCTTGGGTACCAGTCTTGGGGTGAATTACACGTCTTGGTGCATGATGCTGGGAAGTTAATGTTTAATTTGAACGTCAGATTTCTGCTGAATGGCAAGATCTGTAGTAGAAAGGCATTTTGCAGATACAGAGTTACTTTCTGAATAAAGCCCTAGGAGACTTTTGAAAGTTTTATCCCTTTATTTTGATATAGTGTCCTGGAGTTGATGTAATTTGGACTTTTGGGACTTTTTGTGGAGAGCACATTCTGAGCCACTGAAACATTCTTTTTGTGTATGTTATTTTTAGTTACTGAATGTTTATGCTGTGGTGCTGTCTAGACAGTAGTGATGGGTGATGCATTGATAATCATGGTTGTAAATGTATGCTCTACCAACGAGATCAAAATTACTTAGATGAAAGCTGAGATGTTTTGAAGTGCGTTGTAAAAAACACTTAAACCACCTCTGATAAAGAGTTGATGGATGTCTCCTTGAGACGATACAGTTAATTGGCTTTGTGTTTTAGTCGTGTGCTTTGATTCCGCTCACGCCCGCACACACATCACTGAAGTTTACACTGTAGGTGATGAAATAGTGTGAGTGAAGGAAGCAAGCATTGCAGGATTCATAAAAGCAGATTTAATGTTTAAAAGACTTTATGAATGGCAAGTCTAGGGTTTTGTATTGCTCCTTCAAATTTTTAATAGATAGTTTGCATTAAAATATTGCAAGAAATATGTAGAACTCGTTCTAATATATTAGGAACTTACCTGATTTTCTCCTTTCTGATGCTTTAAAAACTCACTTGCTAACTAGTGTCTGCATAGTCTGAAATGATTTTTCCCTTAACAGTGAGTTATTCATCTAAAAATGAAATGAAACTCCAGATTATTTCAGCACTCTCTAGAAACCTAAAATCTGTTATTCTTAAGTATGGATTGGTTAGCGTTTTGTTTGATTTTTTTTTTTTTCCAAAAAGAGCTATTAGTACTCAGCAGACTAATGCTTTTCTTTGTATTTTGGGATTCATTTAAATAGAGCTAAATATTCCGGAATTTGTGCAAAAAGGAAAGCAAGGTAGTGTTAAGTTCCCACGTTTTCAACAGCACTAATTAATAGAGACATTAATATAAATTTCTAAGTTAAAGAATATAAGACTATAGGACTAAACTTTCAACTTAATGGGCCAACAGGATTTTAAAATGCATATTACAGTTGATTAATCTGATCAATGTAATTATTAATATAGTGGTAATAATCATAGTGCTTTTGGAGATATCATCAGTAATAGTGGGATAGATTTTAATCTTAAATCTTCCTAAAATGTGCATTGCCTTATGTTAGGAGCCATGTGTAGCTCCACGCTTTTCTGTGTCTTAAGTCCCATCTTTTCATTTTGCAATTAATAGTTGAAGATTTTTGTTTAGATCACAAATGTATTTAAACATAGCCTTCTTTTATTTTGAGCATTATATTTTCCCGGTAGTTCTTTAACTATTTTAAAAACTGAATGACAACAAAAAGGTCACAAAACTAATCTTTGTTTTCTAGATATTACAATCACTTTCAGCACCTACAAAAAGTTTAGAACAACAAGTAAATCATAGCCAACAGGGACATCCAAATGCGGTGCTGTTTAGTCAAGTGAAACTAACACCAGAGACACATTTGTTACAGCAGTCACATCAAGCCCAGCAGCAACAGCACCACCCGCTTTTGCACCTTCAACCTCAGCAACTTATGCAGCTACAGCAGCAGCAGCAGCAGCAACCCCAGATCTCCCAGCAGGCTTTCCAGCAGCAGCAGCCTCACCAGTTTCCCCAACAGCAGCAGCAAGTCCATCAGCAGCACCAGTTC